TTAAAATTGTGAAATAGTACATATAACATAATATTTATAATTGAAAAAAAATCACCGTAGGACATGAAATGGCAATGTGTCTGAAAATATTCACGTGACAAATTGTTTGTTGTTATCAAACATATACATGATATAGACAAAGATACATCTACCGAATTGATCATTTATTAATATAATATATAGACTTGAAAATATTAATTTTTATTTATTATTTAAAAATTCATTAATTACATACAAATTAATTATACTACCTATTAATTTTTACACATAAATAACATTAAGATTTTTATTTCTTAATAGATTAATATTTAAATTTTATTTATTAATTTTGATGGTTCTATCTTAATTAAAAAATAACAAAATCATATGTATACATAAACATATTTAGTTAATTGATATAAACAAAATGTAAATGGAATATTGTAAATAATAAAATTAAAAATGATATTTATTACATAAGTAAGAAATAGAAAACGTATTGTTATATCCATGGTATATGTTCTCATATTCTTAATGAGTAAATTGGAGTAAATAAAAAAATAAATAATATATTTAATCGTAACGTAATTTAAATTTTATTATGGGTAAGGTAAATAATTAATTTTTTTTTAATTTATAAAAATGAAAGTTATTAATCTTGCCCACTAATAACCATCATTATTATTGAAATAAATGAAAGAGTAAAAAGAAACAAAAATAAAAAGTGGCAAAAACTATTCATTAGCCCACTCATAAAAATAAAAAACGGTTGCCAAAGAAAATTCATTAACAATTATTATTGGAAAACAATACGTGCTTAGACATGAGGCAAGCAAAACCAGAAACAGATTTTCGAGAACAAGGCCAGTGAACAACTCATCAAGCCTTCGACGATGTCGATTCAGGACTGTTCGGCATTCACAGGATGTCGAGTCCGCCGTACTTGGCGGCTCGTGCCGTGAGGGGGACGTCGTGGTTGGTGAAGGTGATGTCTCGGTGTTTGAACATCTCTCGAACCATGGTCGGAGAACTGACGCCGACGGTGAGTTTCGAGCCAAGACGGAGTTTGAAAATCCGACTGTACGTTTGGGACAAGGCGTGCAAGTGGTGGAGTTCGGTATTCCTGTACGGAGGCTTCCGACCACCGAAAGTCCTCGCAGATCCATATAAATAGAGAAAGCGAGAATATTCCGTTTAGGATTAATAAGATCAAGTGGTGAAGATTATCGTTTGTGACGAAGATTCGAAGACGCCAAAATTCGACGCCATTGTTAGGGTTCAAGCGTTTTTCCCCTTTTTTTTGGATTTTTGTGTAAAAGTGGATTTATTATTAATTAATGTGAACTCGCCTCGGTCGACAGTCGAGACCACATTCGGATGCACTTTGTAGATTTTATATATTTATTTATTTATCTGATATTTTGTGTCAGTATGATTGGTGGAAGAAAAAGCCATTTTCGGCATGAAAAATATTAAATATCAACAAAAAAAATATAACAAAATACTAAAAAATATATATGTAGATTTACAAACATTAATTTTATTATTTTTTATTTGATTATTTATTTATTAATTTACTATTTAATAATATTATATGGAAATTTGCTAGATTTTGGTTGTTTGTGAAGAACTTATGCTAGAATTAAATGAAAAAAATATGAAAATCATTAGTCCAAAATAAATATATAAAAATAAGATGCTAAAAAAAAAGAAAAATATAATAATTTTTAATAAACTGTGTTATTTTAATTGATATTTATTTGTTATTTAAATAGTAATAAATAATTAGAAAGTATTGTATCTTAATATTACATTTATCTTTGTTTAAATGTTTGAGAATATTTTACAAAGTAAAAAATTTTAAAATAAAAACAAAAATGGTTGCCGACTCAATGTCATATATGAGATCACTAATCATCATATTTATTCTTTATTCTTTTTTCTAATTAATTTTTATTAATTAGGAATGGAAATATATTTTTATTATATCTATATATATATATGAAAAGGTGAAAAACAAAATTATTAAATTGTAATTTTTAACGACGGTCGACTTGAATGTGCTAGAGCTCAAATGTGATACCATCTATTTCTTGGTCACAGTGGAAACATAGCTTCTTCCTTTCCGGAGAAAACAAAAAGAAGGCGAATAATATGACCACTTTGAGCGGAAAAAACACATTTTTCGTTGATGACGATGCATAACAAAAAAAAAGGTAATAGGGAGGGTGATCACCTTTTAAAATAAGTATTTGGAAGATGTGATGTTGTTCTAGGAAGAGGTATGTGCTTTCATCCGAAGTCGTTTCTGCCTGAGACATAGTCGAGCGGCACATGACGAAATCATATGCATAACATCTTTAGAGAAACTGTTCTTTTTATTTTTCCACAAAAAAATATGTAATATGGCTAATATTTGTATTAAATCTCAGTTGTAACTTGTGATTACTTTTAATTATGAATAGTAAAACACAAAATAGGAAAAAAACTATTAATTATAGATTTATTCGCATCTGTTTTTAATTTTCAATCATTTCTACATATGATGTTGATCAGATTCATGCAAGAATATTATGTTGATTAGGTTCATATATTTGGTTGATAATTTTAACCGGATTTATACTGTATGTATATGTTTATCTATACATAATTTTAATATCAAAATTATAGAACTTTTATACCTGGATTAATATTTAAAATATATAACATTATATAATAATTTAGCTTTGATTACATGACGAGGCGTGTAATTAATTTACATATTATATATAATAATAAAATATTTAAATTTCATTATATAAGATGGATAATTATTATAAAATATTTAACTATATCAAAACTTTCAAATTAAATATTAATTTTTTGTTCCATAGTTAATTTTTTTGTTCATATAAAATAATATAAACTACTTTATCAAAAAACAAATAATATAAAGTATAACTATACTTCGTATAATATATTCGGACAAACAGCCTTGGCTCAAATTCACATGGACCACTCATAAGATGAAAAACTCTCTATCTAAAATGTTAAAATTTAAACATATTTCATACGATAAACAAAAACAACTCTTCATAACGAATTCAAAAAATAAAATAAATATATATATTGAAGTAACAAAAAAAATATATATATATCCATGGTCCATATATATGTATGCATGATATATGTCTATATACATATTATACAACATAAAATATTTGAACCATTCAAACTAAATTTAAAAATAAAATAGTTAATATTTTTATATGAAAATTTTGAACAATATTTTATGTAAAAAAGTTATACAGCATACTCAAATTGTAAAATAGTATGCAAAACGTAAATTTTACAAAGAAAAATTTAACAATCGAACAATGTCAAATTGAAAAGCCAAAACTAAATATTTGGACCATTATTATATCATATTGTATAACAAATAACGTTATTATTTAATAAATTAAAAATATTGTAGAAAAACGTTGTGGATGAAAAATTTTATACGAAAAAAAAATATAAACGAGTGAGATATTTTTATATAAATAAATATTCATAAAAAAAAAGTATTTTCAAGATTGTGTCTGACCGATAAAAATGAACAGATAATAAGTTTTATATTGTTTAACAATAACTAATTCTATTAAAAAGATTGATGATACCGTTTGTAAATTTGATAAAAATAAATTTTAAATACGTTTATACAATGACTTAATAGTTTTGACAAACTAACACCAAAATCTATCAGATTCATCAAATTATATATATATATATAATGATTTAATAATATAATTTTTACTATATTCTTATCAATAATTTGTTTTAACGAAAAGATAAACATTTTACATTAATAATAACAAAAATAATAGCCCGCGCATCGCGCGGGTACTTAACTAGTATTGTGAAAAAAACAACTTTGGAAATAAGTTATCTAGTTGGTTTATATAATTTCGTTTAATGTTAAAACTATTACATTAATATGTTTTATCGGAGGATTTCGGTTCAATTAATTTTGTATTTAAATTTTCGATTTAATAATTTTGGGTTATATTTAAATTTTCTATTAAAGCAAATTTGATTTAATAAACAATATTCAAACAGTTATTTAGATAAAATTAATTCAAATACAGTAATTCGTAATTCGATTCGTTTTTTTACATATCGACTTTACAAAACAAAGTTGTGATAAACTGTTGTTTTGGGTGATAAGGTATTAAAATATGAATGACAGAAATTTAAGAACATCTCGTCCATGGAAATTTGGTTTATTAAAATGAAAATAAATAATCAAATTATCATGAGAGTGATGAAACAGGACCATCAAAAATAATAAAAATTAATATCCATTTTCTTTTTAGGAAAAAGAATATTTTTGTGACATATTTGGTCTGACATTTTTACATCATCATAGTGTTATTTAATAATTGCAAAGTGAGATGAGTAACATTCAATGTATGCCTACTGGCCCATTGCAGGATGGGTTTTTTTCCCTTCTTATTGGGCTTTCTTTAACCCATTGGGTTTTAATAATAATACCGAGATGGAGATTATATGGTATTGTTTAATGTAATATCAATCATTTTAAAGTTAATTTTTTTTATTAAAATTCGATTAATAAAATATCACGATTTTGGATATAGTACATTTACATTAAATTTGAGAATATTGATTGTACTATAGCTGAAATTCCTCGTTTTCTTTCTATTTTTTTTTATAAATATCCCGAGAAAATATGGACACCCCAATCCGTACTCTGTGAATTTCCATCTTCGCCCTCCAGCTTGTCTAACCAAGAACGCACCATCTTCAGGGGGCATATTCGTCATTATTATACAACGTCTGGATAAAAAGGAACAGTAAAAAGAGAAGTTATCGCAGAATGACGATACTAAACTCACCACACGGTGCTGGATGAGCTGAAATGGAGGGGCAAAGCGGACTTTTACTTTTAGAAGGAAACCAGAACCAACCGCGAAGGGTATTTTCGTCATTCCAGGAGTTATAAATGGAGAGATACAGAGGAAGACGGAGAAGAGAGAGAAAGAGATAAGGGTAGAGACAGGAGGAAGAGTTTAGAGAGAGAATTTTCTGCTGTGGGGTATTCGTTTTTTTTTTTCTATTTTCTATTTTATTTTTTTCCCTTCTGTGCTGTGAACTATATGAAGCTTTGAGTTATTGTCACCAATGGCTTCGGACCAAGAAATAGCGGAAGGGGTCGAGAGCCTTCTCCGTCAATCCGACCCGAATTCGCTGACATCGTTTCACGGCATCGTTCAACAGCTCGAGGCCAAGCTAGGGGTAGACCTCTCGGGGAAGACGGGTTTCATACGTGACCAGATCAACCTCCTCCTTCGCGCTCACCCCTCCGCTGCCGCAACCGCCTCCGTCCCGCAACGGCCGCCGCAGTCCGCATTCAATGTGTCTCCGAGAGCCCACTTCACCCTCCACCACCCTTCGCAACACCATCATGCTCAGCCCCAGCAATTCACTTCCCATTTTGCTCTTCAGCCTCCTCCCCACCACTCCTATGATCTCAATTTCCAGCAGCCGTATCCGCTGCCTGTTCCGCAGATTCCGCCTTCGCTGCTGCAGCAGCAGCCACCGCGACAACCGCCGATGCTGGCTAACC